CTGGATCTTAAGTTATCAGACAAATCAGCTGAGCTAATGCTAGCAGCCGCATAGATATATATTTGTGGCTAATCCAGTCTCATTCCCAAGTCCTCAAATACTTCAGCTTGGTCAGTGGCCCTCCGCTTTAAATGTGACGTTTTATATTTATTATTACTAACTTCCATGGAATTGACGCAAGAGGGTACCTACAGTGTCACATTTTAAAGTACAGGGCCACTGACCAAGCACCAGTATTTGACGAGGTTGGGAGGTGTCATGCCCTGATATTTCTATACTCATTTGACTGATGATTTTCCTAAAAACTAAAAAAAAAACTATACTATAAAACTATAAAAAGTGCCAATAACCCCAGCTTCAAATTACTAGAGTGATTTTTTCAAATAAAAGTGTCCTGGTAGACCAATCTAAATTCCTTCTTTCCTTTGTCCTGACTCTCCCTTTGTGTTGATCCTTCTTCCTCGCAGAATCACATCGCCTTCGCTGAGGTCACATGACGTGGAGTCGGCCGTGTGGCAGACCCATTGGACATCCACGCTCTTCACCGTCCAATCCAATTAACTGGAGCGCAGCGCTAAACCCATTCTCTGTGTGTGTCTGGTCTGCGGTATGTTGTTCTATGTTGTCTTTATCGGGCCCTTGTTGTCATTTGCAGCTTCTTGTATTCAAGGAAAAAAAAAGAAGAGTCAGTAACTCAGCGGGAACAGGTTGCTTCTGCTTTCTCCATCTATGCACTTATTCACAATCTTTGTTAGACTCTGACCTCCCAAATGAAGCTTGTTGTGTGGGAAACCACGGAGCGTACTTGTTGCACACTGTGTGGGACACTAGAAGAACAAGTGAAGACCTGGGTTGCACCATCTCAACTCTGCTGAGGTCAAATATTGTCTTATGGTTTGGTTAGGTTGTGTGTGGAACAGCATTGATCCAATAAGATGGCTGTAAGGAGAACCAGTCAGAAAGTTGAGTCAGAGTGTCCAAACAGGGAGAAAGATTAAAAACCCTCTCTTGATGATTTTTTGTTGTTATCACATCCAGAAGACTGCTGTGGATGTCAGAATGTGACACTGACTGCTGGACCCATATTTATCAAACTATTTAAGGTGAAATTTTGGACTTGGCTGAAAAATAAGACAGAAACCCCTTTTGGCTTAAAATGCGGAGGTTATCATATTAGCTATGTCTCACCATCCAATTTTATATCAACCTACTACCACTATACACAAGTATAAAGAGAGAAAGAACATGTACAAAATGGCCGGATACTTAAATAAATGATTAAAGAGCTGTACAGAAAAGTGTGACATTGATATATGCAATGTGCAAGATAAAAAAAAAAAAACAACAAAAACAACAGAAGTAAATGGTAATGGACTGTACTTATAGACATTATTGTAATGCATATATACAAGGTGGGTTTAAGTGTCAGTGTCAGTGGGGGTCTCAGGCCTTGTTAATGAGATCAGCTGCAGACGGAAAGAAACTGTGGCGTAAGGTTTTGGTCCTGATACCTGACTACAGCCTCCTGCGATATAGAGCCACGTCATTACGTCACTGTATATTAATATTACCTATTGTTACGAAGGTTACACTAGCTGTTCAATGTCACATTTGTAACATCTGTGTTATGTTCGCAACATTGATGTGAGAAATTAGTTGCTCGCTAAACAGCTAATAAGTACATTGCTTTTTGCACACAAAGTGCCCCAAGTCCCTGAAGTAAGTCGTTCTTTGTTCTAAACCAGCACAGGAATCCGTTTCCTGGACTGGTTTGAGATAAAGCACTGGCTCTGAACAAGCCCTTAAACATGCCTTGGTGGAGCTAGCTGCTAGTTCCCAACTAGTTAGCTCAGCAGTTAGAGTAGTTCACCAGCTAGCCCATGGTAGTTAGCCACCACCTAACAAGGGTCCGCTGGTGTATTTTGTTGTGCCACTTCCTGTACTGCACGGACTCTAAGGCTGGAATTGATTTTGTTTCCTCCCTTGTTTTTCATTTATCTCCATTTAAAGCAATTCCCTATAATTTCAGTCCTATTTATTAGTTGGAGGATGCTTGTTAGGGCTGTAAAGTGGTTATCTATGCTGTATGTGAGTGAACATGCACAGGGGTTGTTCATATTAGACGTTATGGCTGTTTATTTACTTTTATACTTAAATCTTACTTCCTTAATCTGCCTACTGACAGCAGTTAGGAGACAGTGGTGCAACCTGACACTAAGGTCTGCACCAAGTGTGGCTGGCTCCTCTGTCCTCTGAATTCTGTCTTTGATAAATCACAATTCCAGCCTTAGTCCCTTTGTGTTGGGCACAGGTCTATCCATGCAAGAATAAAACTTTACAAATGCTTGCTTTAAAAAGTAGAGTTGTGGACTTTGGAAGCCGTGGGCAATTGCCAGGCAGGGAGGGTCTTTTGCAGTGTGTCCCTGAATCTTTTGGAAGTGCAATACTTTATCAATTAAGGACTCCTTAAAGCTGCAGTAGGTAACTTTTGTAAAAATAACTTTTTTGTCATTATTGCTGTGAAAAAATCAGGTTCCTCTGGCTCCTCCTAGTGATTCTAATGGCATTTGCGAGAATCCACAGGGCTTGAACGAAAACAACCAATCAGAGCCAAGAAAGATAGTGGATCGTTGAGTCCCAGAAGAACCTGATTTTTTCACAGAGTATCTGTCTCATGTACTACTAGGATGTTAGGATAAAGTGAAAGGTTCAGCAAATATGACACAAATTATATTTTTATAAAAATTACCTACTGCGGCTTTAAAGTGTAATTCTTGAAATGTTGATAAATATGAGCTCAGGTCAAAGTAGCAATTAGGAAAACTGCAAAGCTTCATGTCTTTGTGTTCATGTGTCACTGAGACATCTCTATGAGGGTTTAGGGTGTATGTACAGGAGTGTATAGGTGTGTGTGTGTGTGTGTGTGTGTGTGTGTGTGTGTGTGTAAAGTATACATTCAAC